TTCTCTTCTTCTACTCTTCGTTCTAGAGAACGTTTACAAAATAATTCAACCCAGAATTAAATTGATTTTTATTAAATTAATTAAAATTTACCATTCAAAGTTCTCAATCATTTCTCTTTGTTGATTAATACTATGTTGTACTTTAACTCTCATATAGAATATTGGGCAGTCTTTGTTTGCACAGATAATTTCTCTGTGATGGGATTGCATACATTCTTGACATTGAGTCATAATACGATGATATGCATTTTCTGATTTTTGTACGTCAATCAACTTTCTAGCATAAATTTCTCCAGTTTTTTCATGACAATTCCTACAAATAGTACCTTCATTTTGTTTTAATACAGCATGACACTCAGCACATCGTTTTGTAACCTTTGCAAATTTCATAATTCCAGTATTTGCTGTTGGGGTGATATTTACAACAAACCTTGTGTGTTTTCCTTCAAAAATTTCACTAACCTTTTCTCCTAAAATAGGTTTGAAAATACGTGTTAATGGTTTTTTCAATTGATTCTCAATATAATAATCAAAATCAATTGGAATATTATTTTCTAATACATACAATGGGTCTTCAGCTTTTTCATAAGCTTTTGCATCTTTTGTTGATTTAATAATAACATACGGAATTCTATCTCCAGTATTAATTGTAGTTGTTTTATCTCTTTCTCTAATTCTTTTAACTAATTCTACATGAGCTTGTTTCCCCGCATAGTCTTCTTTACTTAATGTTTTTGATATAATTAGCATAGATAAATCTAACTTATTTTGTAATAAATCAGAAATCATATTTTTTACAAAACTAATAGCTCCTTCAACATCTGAATCTAATAGAATTTTATTTAATACATTTTCGATGACATATTTCACTAATAAACAATTATCTCTTCTTACAGTTTCAATTCCCTTCGTATCTACATGATCCCATTTATCTGCTCTATTGAAATATAACCCGGCATATCTCTTTTTACTAATTAATAAATACGGGAAGAAAACTTTTTCAAATTCAAGATTGATTGGTCGTGGAAATTTTGTTGTTACAAATACTGCAGCTTCTTTTCCTAATCTAATCGCTTCAGCTAAGTCAGATGTTCCAAATTTTACCATAACGGAATCTGTATCACCATAAACAACTTGTGCATCCCATGGAAATCCATTTTTCTTACTGTATTTTTCCTCTACAGTAGTTTTTGTTAATTCAATCATTGTTCTACCGTAGGAAGTTACACTTGATGCAATTTGCATACAAGGGAGTTTTCCAATTTGTGCACCAGTAAATCCATAAACTGAATTTGCACTAACTTTAAGTGCTAATTGTCTTCCATTTAACACAGTAATTTTAAAAGGGTCTGTAGCAGCTGCCATATCTTTTTTAGCTTGTTTTCTTGCTGCAAGTAAATTTTCTAGAATTTCTGGTAAAATTCCTTTTCTCTTACTTGACTTAACAAAAAGATCACCATTTGGTGATAATTCTACATCTTCTACATTAAGCTGTTTATCTTTTAATTTTTTCATAATTTGGTCATACAATTTTCTATCCTCTTCACTTTCAGATGTTTTCAGAAACTCTATTGATGGAACATCTTTCCTAGTTTTAATTCCATCAATTAAGGTGGAATAACATAAATTATGAGAAATCATAATAGAAGGATATAGTGAAGAGAAATCTAGTGTTGAAATTGGTACTTTATAAAACCCTTTAATTGGATTAATAACAGTAGCCCCAACATATTTATCTCCATTTGTTTTAGTTCTTTGGAAGAATGGAATAAATAAGTTCTTTGCATTAGCATGACGATACAATTGAGTTATAACTTTAACTTGTTGTCCTCGAGGAAGAAGGTATGACAATGGAATACCAGTGACTCTACACATTTCAAATCCATTTACTAATGACATTAATTTCTCTAACAATTTAATTGGTAAATACGTATCTTTTAAACAATAAACAGCAATTCTATTACGATCATCCATACTTCCTTCATGTAATGTAGTGATATCAGCATAATGTACTTCTTCTTTTTGATCACCAAGGAAATTACTTGATACAAAGTTTAATGTATAAGACCTTAATTTATAATCATGTTGAATAACTTGGAACATATCAAATGGAATTCTTCCTTCTAAATTTATTAATTCATTTGATTCTCTAACACCTACTGCCTTTGACTGGAATGTAGATTGTCTAATACTCACATGAGAACTTTTTAATTTTGAGAATGATGAGAAATCCTTAACTTTTAATACCTTTGCTCGTTCTAATAGATATTTAAAATCAAAGTTCATAATATTATACCCAGTAAATATATCAACGTCTATTGCATTAATAAAATCTGACCAACCTTTTAACAATTCTTCTTCTGTATCATAGTCATATATAATAGCTCCAGGAATTGGTGAACAACCTTTTAATACAAATACATTCTTTGTAACAACATCTGGTTTACCAAATTCAACAACATAATTAGCAATTTGAATAACTGGATCAAGTTCAGGAACTGGGAATGAACCTTTTCTTCCTGCACACTCAATATCAAAAGAAAGAATTCTTAATGGAGCAGTTTTAGTATATTCATTATCACATCCTAAATTTAATAAATCTTTTACATCTAAATGAATTTCATGTTGACATCTTGAAATTTTATTTGCTTCATCTTTTACTAAAACATATCTTTTTGCTGGAACTTTTACCCAACTACATCCAACTAAACCAGAATCTACCATAAATCTTAAAACAAACAATAAGTCTGCTTCATATGTCTGATATTGTCGATTATTAACACGTTGTGTTTCTTGAAGAATATGTCTTAACAATGGAACATATTTTGGAAGTCTTAAAGTTATTTTAATAAAGAAAACTTCTTTTTCGAAATTATAATTCATAAGAGAGTGATGGTTTTTAATATTCTCCATATGTAAAATGTATTGTTCAAAATCCCCTGTTGCTTTTACTTCAGAATGAAGTTGTTGATTACATTTCAATTTAAGTTCATCAAGTTCTTGTTGTGTATATTCTTTTTCTACAGAAATATAAAAATATGGTTTATATCCATGTACCATAGCTAAAACACTATCCCCTTCATTTGTAGTTCCATATAAATATAATACTGGTTCATTATATCCTTCACTCAATGGGTCTTCTTCTATTCGATATTCTTTTTCAACAATACGATTAATATAATCAATATCAAATTGTAGAAATTCAATATCATCTTTTTCTGGATCATATTCTCTTTGTGGGACTTTTTTAATTTCATCCAATCGTTTGTCATATCCAATCACCTTATCATTTCCTTTTGGATTAATTATTACTCTTTTCATTTTTTTAATCAGGGGTTTTCTTTTTTTAAGTTCTTTTTTGTTTCTTTTCTTTTTTTTTAAGTTAATTCTTCCTTTTTATTTCTTTTATTCTTATTTCTTTTTTACATTATAATTTTACTATTATCACTATTGTTCTTCTCATTATGTCCAACTTAAAAGAGCCAATCAGCCAATCTATTGATTGAGTTTATAAATTATTGTTGATATTAACTTTTCATTTATTGCACTTTATTTCTTTGATTCGATTTTCAATAAAAATAAATAATTCATAATCAATGAATTAAATAAAATAATAAATTGTAATTTAAGTTGTGTTTTAGCATTACTCCAAACAATTAAACAAAATAATATAATAAAGAAAAAACAAAAAACAAAATAATAAAAGAAATAAACAATTAACATCTTATTAATTAAACCAAAGAACCTTATTACTTCTTTTAAAGTTTAAGAAAATAATTTAAGACAGTGTGATATTGTTATAAACAAATTAAATAAAAATATTGTTTCATTATTTATATAAATCATTAGAAAAAAAAAATGAAAGAAATATTTTTTTAGTTTAATTCAAGAATATAGAATTATCAGATAATTTATTAAGTAAAATTATTACTCTTCCTATTAACTTATTTCACTTTTATTTAAATTACATTATTCTCTTATAGTTTGTTATATCAAAAATATGTAATAAAAAAATTACTTTTGTAATAGTTAAATTGTGTTATATTTTTAGTTCATATTTTTTGGAAAAACATTTTTTTTAAATTAAGAATTTCTATATTTATAATAAATATTTTAATTCTTTTTCTTTTCATTGAAAAGAAGTTCAAAAAAATAAAAAAAAAGGAACTAAAAATAATAAAAATGAAATTCTTATTCATTTGTTTAATTTATGTTTTAGTACAATCCCGATCCACCCCTGAAGAGATAGACCAATATAGAAATTCATCAAAACTTGTTGTTATTGAATATATGTCAGAAAAATGTCAATTTTGTCAATTAATTGATAAAGAAATGAATGAGACAATCTCTGAACTTTCAATGCTAAATAATATTAAAATATTCCAAATTGACTGTGACAAATACAAAAGTTATTGTGAACGAGATGGCGTTTCTGCATATCCTACTATTCTTCCAATTAGAAATAACTTTATGTACAATGAATTAAGAAGACCAAGAGAGGGTTGGAATTGGAAATTACAAATACTTGAAATTGCAAATGCTCCAATGCCAAAATATGTTGTTGGAAGAACTAAATTAAATAAAATAGCTATTCCAAAGCAACACCTAAATCATCCCTTTATGATGAATAAATAAATACTACTATTTGTCTTAATTACTTTAGGTTTATTATTTTTTCCTACTTAAAAATAAATGAATTATTAAAAAATAACTGCTTTTTAATAATCTGATGTGATTAAATCCTTTCAAAAATCATCCTAAACTATTCATTTCAATGTAAAAAGAGTAAATTATTCATTGAACCATTTAAATTTTTCTTCGGCCTCCTTTCTCATTACAGCAAGTTCTCCTGATTGGTTTAAATCAGAAACAGTTTTAATAAACTCAAGAACATTTCTATCAGCATAACTCATTGTATTAACTTCCAGTGATTCACTATAAATACAATGACCTCCTCTTTGGGTATAAGAAGAAATAACAAATGGACTAAATCCACAAAGAGCTTTAATTCTCAAATAAGAATAATCTTGGTCATTTAATACTGGGTCATCAAAAGAATTAATTGTATATGTTGGAATACGAGTACATGGTAAATTTTGGAACCATTGCTCTACATCCCAATAATATGCTTCAACACTCTTGTATCCAAACATTGGGGCAATTAATGTTTTCTCTAATTCTTTCATTGTTTTTGCATTATTTACTGCATTTAAATCATATAATGGGTGTCCATCTTTATCAGTAGCTTTCTCAAAAACTTCTTTATGACTAAAAAGAATTTCTTTAAACTCATCAATAAATGGTTTGGTATATAAATCAGGTGTTTCTACAGCAGAAATTCCCCAAACAGGACATACAGCACAAATCGAATTTACATTAAATTGTAATAAATCAGATGAATATTTATAGCTTAAACGAATTGCTTGTGATCCACCAAGAGAATATCCAACGATATTAATTTGTGCTTGTTCAAATTGTTTATGAATAATAGGAAGTGAATCATAAATGTCTTCACATGAAATGGCATTGTATAACTTTCCTGTTGTTACTTCAATTCCAGACAAACCTCTTTTAATGAAAACAATAGCACGGAAATTATTTCTACGTGCAAGCTCTACTGCTTTCTTAATATATAAACTCTTTTTGTCTCCAACAGCACCAGGAATAAAAACTATTATTGGTGCTGTTACTGGTAAATCGCTATCAAGAACGTCAAATCCACAAATACCTCCATCTTGACAATGTACAATAGTTCTACTATAAGAAAATGAAAATGTTGTATCAGTTTGAGATGTATATACTGTTAATAAGTGTCCTGAAAGTGGTTTTAATGGACATTGATAAGCAGAACTAAGTTGTGGTGTTAAAGAAAGAACCTTAGATGAAAAAGGTGATTGTTTCATATAATAAGTATGTGGATAATCATCAGTTTCTATAATAAATGAAATTAAATAAATAAACAATGGAAGAAGAATAAGAATTAGTGAATATGAATAATACCAACAATATAAGACAAATACAATATATGATGTGAATAAATAAAATGGTCGGTGATGTTTCATTGCTAATAGTAATGTTTGTGTATGTGCAACAAAAGAAGCAATATAAAATTGTAACAATAATTTTACATTCATTCTTCCTCTTCAACTGGACTTTAATTTTTTCAACTCTCTAAACAAACCCTTTTTTTTTCTTTTTTTTACTTCAATTCTACTTTTTTGTTATTTGTAATTGAAATAAATTTTTTATGTTCTAAAAATATAATTAACAAATATAGTAAAATCAATTTAATTTTGTGATTGCTCTATAACATCTTCTTTTTTATTATTTATTTCTTGAGTATGAACTTCTTTTTCATGAAAATGGTGTAATAATGCCTTGAATGCACCATCCAATGCGGCTGCTTCCCGTTCAGTCAACATAACTCTTCCAAGTAATTTTTTCATTGACTCAACAGCACCAACTTCCCTTTGTTCATTCATTACAGAATGTAAAATTTCTTTCCATTCTTCAAGTAACTCTCCTTTTTCTTTGGCAATAATTTCCTTGCACCCCTCAGGAACTAAGTCTCCACCATCTCTTAATCGCATGTGCATATAATTTAATGCGATACCAACTGCATGACTAAGATTTAATACTGGATAATGACTTCTAATATCAATTTTATTCAATAAATCACATGCATCACATTCTTCAGTGTTAAGTCCATTACTTTCATTTCCAAAAACTAAACCAACACACCCTTTCATTGTTGATAACATATCTCCAGCTTCTTGCATTGTCATTAAAATTCTTTTATTTTTTTGTCCAGAACTTTCCCTTGCAGTATATCCAACCAATAATGTACAGTCTTTTCTTACTTCTTCAAGGGATTTACATATTACAGCATTCTCTATATATCCATTTCCGTGTCGAGATACTTTAATAGATTCTTCTCCAATTTCACACAATGGATTGACAATATATAATTTATTAATTCCATAATTGGCACATAACCTTCCAACAGCCCCAATATTATCTTCGTGCATTGGTCTTACTAATATAACACTCATCTTAATATCACCAAAAGTCCTTTCATCTTGAACCTTCTCTTTTTCTGGTGTGATTTTCATTTCTCCAACTCTTAAAGTTATTCCGTTAACTTTTTTCATTTCATATTTTTCAATAGCTTTAGCACAACTTTGTTTATCTGTAAAAATTATATGTGCAAAAGTAATTCTTTTGTGAAAGATAGAGATAGACTCTATTGTTCCAAACTCACTAAATAATTCTCTCAAGTCTTGTTCAGTGAAATCATTTGTAAATCCTCCAACATAGATTTTCCCTTTTTCAATATTCATATGTAATGAGATTCTTTCTTTTATTTAAGTTATTTTTTAACTTTTCTTTTCAAATAACCCTATTTTCAGATTGTGTTTTTGTTGTTCATTTTTAACTTTTGGGATAAAATATTTCATTTTTGAATGAACTTCTCATTTTTCTTACAAAAAGACACATAATATCTATTAAACAAAAAAATAATAAAACAGAAAAAGAAATAAAAAAGAACGAATATCATTCAATTAATTCAAAAATAGATGTATGTTACTTCAAAGAATTAGGATTCCATAAATGAGACAAAGAAGATTCAATTTTTTGTTCTGTTTCAGCCAAACTTTCTTGTATAAATACAACATTTTCTTTTATTTGGTAAGCTTGTTTACTATTTTCATCAAGAGCTATTTTTGCTTGTTGTAAAGTAATATTATTTACTAAAGGAGTTACTTTATTACTTAATTCAGTAATTTGATCACTAAGACCATTAAATTCTTCCTCAAAACTAGAACAGATTTTAAATAATTTTTCTTTAATAGTTTTTTCATTTTGTCTACTACTTTCTTCAAGTAATTGTTTTTCTCTTAATATTTGCATTTGATTAATTGTTGTATCAAATACTTTATTTATTTTAGGTCTTATTTTATCTTCTACTTGTTTTAAAGAAAAACTTTTTAACCGTGTTTCTTGAATCATTTTATCTAAATCATTATTATACTTTATATCTTTTAACGACAATGCATTTTTTAAACGATCTGACTGTATTTTATTCTTTAAAAATTCCATCATACTTGAATCAACATTTACAAAAAGTGATGTATTTGATGTTTGAATTGTGTTATTCATTGTATTCATATTTATTGAATTAAATCCTCCATTATTATTATTTCCAAATCCATTACCAAATGGATTGCCTAACCCACTTCCTAATCCTCCATTATTCCCAAACCCTGTTGCAGTATTTGTCATACCAAATCCTCCACCAAATCCCATGTTATTATTTCCAAATCCACTACCAAGTCCTGTATTATTATTTCCAAATCCACTACCAAGTCCATTACCTAATGTTGAACCAAAACCACCAAGTCCAGTAGTATTTCCAAATGTACCTGACGTTGAACCAAATCCTGTGTTAGTAGTATTACCAAATCCAGTCGTTGTTGAACCAAACCCTGTATTACCAAATGTATTGTTATTACCAAAACCACTTGGTGTTGAACCAAATCCACCAGCAGTCTTAGTATTATTGTTATTACCAAAACCACCTATTGTTGAACTGAAACCACTACCAAAACCTGTATTATTACCACTACCAAAACCACCTGTAGTTGAACCAAAACCTGTATTATTATTACTACCAAAACCACCTGTTGTTAAACCAAAACCAGTGTTATTATTATTTCCAAAACTACCTGTAGTTGAACCAAAACTAGTGGTATTGGTATTTCCAAAACCATTTGTTGAACCAAAACCAGTACCAAACCCTCCTGTTGTATTATTTGTTTTACCGAATGTGTTATTGCTTAATCCACCAAAGCCAGTTGTTGTGAATGCCATTATTGAATAAGTTCAATCATTCACAGATCCCTTTTCTTTTACATTGTGAATTATTTTTCAATTTCTTTTTAAATAAAAATAATTTTGTTTTTTTGGATTATCTTAGTTTTGTGTTTTGAATTAATTAAAAAACATAAATTTGATTTAACACAATAAAAAAAATTGTGTTATTAAAAGGTGTTTTTATGTTCTTCAATCTGATTATCGCAAAAAAGTACTGGTATGAAATAGTTCATCGAAACGTCATTTTCCAAAATTCACAGGCACTTAATCTAATTCAAAGAATAACATTAAAACTTAAAATTTAAATTATAAAAAAATAATTTATACAAGTATTATAAAAATAGAAAAAAAGATAGCAAAACAATAATAAAAAATAAAATATCAATAGAAAAGTGACAGCCAAAGAGAAAGAACCAAGAGAAGAAGGTAAAAGAAAAAAATATGAAACAAATCTCATAGGCATCGATAGGAAAAAACAGGCAATTCTAATTGACATGGAAGCACAAGCAAAGCCTCGAAGAAAGTGTTGGATGTGTGTCTTTCCTGGATGTACTGAACCACCAAAGACAAGGTATAACTGTTATAGTCATGTTTGGGATGCACATTTACGACATTTAAATGGAGAAAAAGAAGCATATAAAAGAATTAAAGAAGAGGAAAGAAAAGATGCAATGAAATTATGTGAGATGTATGTAGTATATGTAGATGATTCAAGAGGAAAAAAAGGAGGAAATTCATTTGAGAAAAATATTCAGATAGAAAATGAAAGAGGAAGTTCAACAATGTTTGTTCGTCAATTATCTGAAACACCATTAATACCATCATTAACACATTCTATTAATAATCTTCAAACAATTCAAAATTATCAGCAAGTTCAACAAAATGTTAGATCTCCACTTGTTGTGAGTACTTCAAGTTCTACTTCTGCACAAATTAATTCTCCAATTAACTTACCTCAACAATTAACTCCTTCAACTATTCCAATTCAACAAATTGAACAAGCTAATACAACAATTGCACAAGGAGTTTCAAATGATAATTCTACATTAACTAATCCATTATGTCTAAATGGATTTATTGATTTTAAACAAGAAAGTGAAAATTCAAATGGATTTAATTCTCAAAATGATTTATTTACTTCACCTCAACAACCCCCAAATGAAATTCCATGGGATTATCTTCAATCTCCTTCTACTCCATTAACACCAACACAAATGAATGGAATAATAGAAAAAAATGAAGATTTTATTCGTATTGAAAGAATTAATGAAAATTTAAAAAGACTTCATGTTATGGGAGAAATCATGGCAGAAAATGGATTTTTACAACGATCTGATATTCGTGTAAAAGAAAATATTAAGCCATTAGTTGATTCATTAAATACAGTACTTCAACTAACTGGAACATCATTTAATTATATAGGAAAAAAAGAAGAAAAACTTGGGTTTATTGCACAAGAAGTTAAAAAAGTATGTCCTGAATTAGTTATTGAAGATGACAAAGGAGAACTTGCAGTAGATGTTATTGGAGTAATTCCGCATTTAGTAGAAGCATTAAAACAAATTTATGAAAATGCATCATCAGAGCAATTATCTTCAAATGAAAGATATAAAGAATTATCAGAAAGTACTCAACAAATGATTAAAATGGTTGAAGAATTTAGAAAAGAGATTCAAGAAAAAAATGATGAAGAAAAGGAAACAAGAAAAAATAAAATAGACAAAATGTTATTCTTTAATTTTTCATTTGGACCAGCTATAGCCACATTATTTGCATCTATTTTTTTAACTATCTTTAGTATATTTGTCATTTTTTCATTACCAGAATTTCCATTTATGTGGGGGTATTGTTGGTTTACAACAATATTATCATATTTATCATTATGGAATACTCGTAATGAATTAAAAGTCATGTGGAATGGAGGACCATTAATACTTTATTTTAAACATAATAATTTTATCTCTATATATTTATTTTTATTATTAGCAGCTATAGGAATTACAGTTAGTATGATTATGGGAACTATTGTATTGATTGTAATGGTTGTTTATGTTTCATTATTTGTTTTGATTGGAGGATTATTAATTATTATGAAAGGAATGTATCAGTTAGATTTTAAAGTGATAAGTTCGGTTTTAATAGTTTATTTAGTATCTGTTGTTATTGTTTCTTATTCTTTGTTTATTACTCAACCTGGTTATGACTGTTTTATCAATTCACCTTCTACTACAAATTTTGAATTACAACTTCAATTAAATACTCCAATTCAACGTCAAACATTCTCTCCTATTCCATGGAATTGTATGAAATATGAAGTTAAATCTAGTCAAAAACTTCCTGCTGGAATTAAAATTGGGTCAGTTAGAACAGACGTAGAAACAGTTCCTTATCTTTACGGTACGGTAACTGATTTTTTCCCAACTACAAAGGTAGAAATGTTTTTAGAATGTGCTTCATATGTTCGTTTACGGTGTGGTGTTATAACAATGAAAGTATGTGATGGAAGAGATAAGATTTCATGTGAGGATAACCAATGTAATTGGTGTGGAAATAGTTGTAAAGCAACGTGTTGATGTAATTTAAACTAATTTGATTTTTTTATAGAAATATCTTTTTTAATTTTA